GGATTAACAACTTTATTAATCAGTTTGTTTTCATCTGGCCTGAGGCGCGGACCGCGCTTAACCGGGAAAAAAAACGCCATTATCCCATCGAGGTCTTCTCGCCAAATGCGGCGAATGGGATAAAAGAGAAAAGGGGGGGAGGAGGGGGGGGGGGGGTCACCCAGGTCGATGTAAAAAAAAAAAGTACAAACATGAAAACGGCGGCGAATAGTGCGTCCAATTTCAGAGCCGAGTCTTAATGGGATGTAACAGCTGCTGGGAAAATCACCATTACTGAGAGAGCGGCACGTCGCGCCACGACGCAATGTACCTTCACAGCAATTTGCCGTCTCCTCGCAGCTCCACGCAACCAGAATAAATGATACAAATGAAACAAAAATGCAAATTTAAAAAGAAAAAAAAAAAAAAAAAAAAAAGGAGCGACGGCGGGAAAAGGACTAAAAATAAATGAAATCCCGACACAAATTCTGTAAGGGGGGGGGGAGGGGAGGTGGCGCCACAACGTTCCACAGGTAAGAAAATCCAATCAACCGATTGGGGAATATGGAGCTCGGAGGAATACGCCCCGAGGCCAACGCGCCAACGCGGAGCTCGGAATACGTCCGAGACCCCGAGGCCGACGCGGAGCTCGGAATACGCGAGGCCAACGCGGGGAATACGCCCCGAGGCCGACGCCAACGGAGCTGGGAATACGAGGCCAACGCCCGGAGGCCAACGCGGAGCTGGGAATACGCCCCGAGGCCAACGCGCGGAGCTCTGGGAATACGCCCCGAGGCCAACGCGGAGCGGAGCTCGAGGCCAAATACGCCCCGAGGCCAACGCGCGGAGCTCTGGGAATACGCCCCGAGGCCAACGCGGAGCTCGTGGAATACGCCCCGAGACCCTCCGTGGAGCTCCGCCTACGCCCCGAGACCCTCCGTGGAGCTCCGCCTACGCCCCGAGACCCTCCGTGGAGCTCCGCCTACGCCCCGAGAGACCCTCCGTGGAGCTCCGCCTACGCCCCGAGACCCTCCGGGGAGCTCCGCCTACGCCCCGAGACCCTCCTCCGGGGAGCTCCGCCTACGCCCCGAGACCCTCTCCGGGGAGCTCCGCCTACGCCCCGAGACCAACACGGAGCTCAGTCTGCGCCCCGAGACCCTCCGGGGAGCTCAGTCTGCGCTCAGCCTACGCCCCGAGACCCTCCGGGGAGCTCAGTCTGCGCCCCGAGACCCTCCATGGAGCTCAGCTCAGTCTACGCCCCGAGACCCTCCATGGAGCTCAGTCTACGCCCCGAGACCAACACGGAGCTCAGTCTACGCCCCGAGACCCTCCTGTGGCTCAGTCTGCGCCCCGAGACCCTCCATGGATGGAGCTCAGTCTACGCCCCGAGACCCTCCATGGAGCTCAGTCTACACACCCATTCCTCTTGACTGACAGCCACCCATCATTTGATGTTTGCATAACTCCTCCCACTGCTTGCATCAGGATTGAGTACTGATGGCACCCTGCTGGCCCCTCCCACCAGCCTTGATCTGCCTGTATTGCATAGAAAATCACAGAGACCCAGTGATGACATCATTGGGTCTATACTAAGGTATGGAATAAAGAGAGAGACTTCATAAATATCATCATGTTGATGGGGGGAGGGGTGGTGCGGGGGGGGGGGGGAGAGGGGGGGACCAGGGAGGCAAATTGTAGGCAGATTAAACGTCAGCTTAAGAATCAAATGTGGAAATTATGGGGGAGGATTGAAGAGTGCGCTGGAATTTGCGTCATTTATTAATTCACACTCCACGGACCCCGTGCAGTTCACGTTTCCAGACACGTGAGCTCCATAATCTCCTCCTGGCGTGTCGGGGGATCAGAGGGAACGTTCATCGGCTCCGGCACATTCCGGGAAGGAAACGCGGTCACGGCCGTCACCGACATACCAAGAGACCTTCCGGGAGGGCGGCCAATGGCGGATCCGGAGCATCAGTGCTGCAGCCAATCAGAAGACAGCTCTGCTGACCGATATCAGCTCCAAACGGCCAAAGTGATGTGCGCCTCAGCGGTCATGTGACCTCTCCACACCTCGGGCGAGCCACCTGCTGGGGTTACCCCGGGACACACCCACCTCCTCCTGTGACCCCAACATTCCTCTGCTGCAGGGGCCACCCCCCCGTACACTCCAGTGACCCCAATGTCTCCAATCAGAGAAAACCATCACTCCTGTACCCCCATAATCCCGTCCAATGAGGTGACCCTAATGTCTCCAATCACCCCAACATCTCAGTGACCTCAGTGATCCCTATTCACTCCTGTGTTTCCACTAACCCCAGAGCCCCCCGCGTCACCCCCCCCCCCACAGCCTCCCGTGTCACCCGGCGACCCCCACAGCCTGCCGCGTCCCCGGCGACCCCCGCAGCCCCCCGCGTCCCCCCGCGTCACCCGCGGACCCCCAGACCGTCCTTATAGAGAAGCTGCTTTACTGCCAGAGGATTTGTATTTCTGTCCATCCAGTCCTGAGATTTGCACAGCTCTGCCAGTCTGGTGACCGGTTCTTCTCTCTGCAGTAGGAAACCAATGCAGTTAGATCACCAACCCCCCCCCCCCCCCAGACTGGGACCATGACCTGGGAAGGACCATGAAAGGAGAAGCAGCGGAATGATCACATTCTCTCTCTGTCACTCTGCTTTATCCTTCTATCAGCAGGCTTGTTAGCTGTGAGAAATGCAGCACCGCTGACTGGCTCTTTGTGCTGCTTCTCCCTTAAAGTGTGAGCTCTGCTGTACAAGGACTGTAGGTGCCATCTATCCTGACAACGTCCTGGTATGGTGAAGATGTGGCTTGTCCAGGTTGTCACGCAGATAGAAGGACACTCCTATAACAGAGATGGTGATTGGACCAGAAACGTCACATGATCCCCATAGACCCAAGTAACAGGTGTCGCCTGCCCTGACCTCCGACCTCTGCACTGCTACTTCCTCATCTCTGCCATGGTGCAGCCGGCTCCAGTGAGGTCCGCACTCCTCCTGCCTGGTCCGATCTGCTGCTCATCCAGTACTCCTCCTCCTTTGCCCACCAACGGCCACCAATACGGAGTCCCCCACCAACGGCCACCAATACGGAGTCCCCCACCAACGGCCACCAATACGGAGTCCCCCACCAACGGCCACCAATACGGAGTCCCCCACCAACGGCCACCAATACGGAGTCCCCACCAACGGCCACCAATACGGAGTCCCCAACGGCCACCAATACGGAGTCCCCCCCCAACGGCCACCAATACGGAGTCCCCCACCAACGGCCACCAATACGGAGTCCCCACCAACGGCCACCAATACGGAGTCCCCCACCAACGGCCACCAATACGGAGTCCCCCACCAACGGCCACCAATACGGAGTCCCCCACCAACGGCCACCAATACGGAGTCCCCACCAATGGCCATCAATACGGAGTCCCCACCAATGGCCATCAATACGGAGTCCCCACCAATGGCCATCAATACGGACGGCGTCCCCACCAATGGCCATCAATACGGCGTCCCCACCAATGGCCATCAATATGGAGTCCCCCCATCAATATGGCGTCCCCACCAATGGCCATCAACACGGAGTCCCCACCAATGGCCATCAATACGGCGTCCCCATCAATGGCCATCAATACGGAGTCCCCACCAATGGCCATCAATACGGAGTCCCCACCAATGGCCATCAATACGGAGTCCCCACCAATGGCCATCAATACGGAGTCCCCACCAATGGCCATCAATACGGAGTCCCCACCAATGGCCATCAATACGGAGTCCCCACCAATATCCCTGATGCTAGCAGTGGTAGGATTTCTGACTGGCTGCGGCCTCTAATGCACATTGTGAGAAGCTCCCAGTGTGCAGTGACATCAGGGGAAGCCATTCCAGTCCAGGGGAGGAGCCGGTAAACCTGTGCAAGACTGCAGGGGAGGAGCCGGCGCACTTGGGCAAGACTGCAGGGGAGGAGCCGGCGCACTTGGGCAAGACTGCAGGGGAGGAGCCGGCGCACCTGGGCAAGACTGCAGGGGAGGAGCCGGCGCACCTGGGCAAGACTGCAGGGGAGGAGCCGGCGCACCTGGGCAAGACTGCAGGGGAGGAGCCGGCGCACCTGGGCAAGACTGGAAGGGAGGATCCGGCACACCTGGCAAGACTGAAGGGGAGGAGCCGGTACACGTGTGCAAGACTGAAGGGGAGGAGCCGGTACACCTGTGCAAGACTGAAGGGGAGGAGCCGGTACACTTGTGCCAGACTGAAGGGGGGCCCGGGGGGCACTCCACTTCACTGGACACCCCAGAACCCCCTCAATGTTTGTACCAATCACTAATGCCGAATTTCATCATCAGTAGCCGCAGGACTTCCTGCAATTCGATCACAACAGCAACACCATACACCCCATGGAGCCAGATGTGAGCCCCGCCCACTGGGAGGCGGTGCCCAGAACAGTCACAGCGTTCGATGATCTGAGTCCAGAACTACAACTCCCAGCATGACACCATAGGGAAGATGGGAGGAATCCCCATAACGACATTTAACTCTGCAGTGACAGGAAGTCCCACCCCCGAGGAACCGGTCAGGGCAGACACATGACGGATTGCACTGCTGACATGTTGTAGGCCCCGGGGCTGCCATCCTGATCCTACCATGGACTGCAGGCAGGATGGAGATGACAGCCGGGGAGAAGAAGCGAGATTCCCCCCCCCCCCCACACCATTGGTGGCCTCCTGAACATACCGGCTGCCTGGCTTCAGGACTTCCTATATGACCGGCTGCTGCCAATGAGTGCCAGACACCCTCCATGGTGCCAGACACCCTGCCATGGTGCCAGACCCTCCATGGTGCCAGACGCCCTCCATGGTCCTCCATGGTGCCAGACGCCCTCCCGGGGGGGAACCAGCACGCCCACACCGAGAGGTCAGCCGGCATTATCCTCCCGTGACCGGTTCCCTTTACAGCCCCATATTCTGTGGCCCCTGAGGGGGTGGGGTGGAGGGCCCCTCTCTCTGTTACCTCTTCCAGCTCATCCTTGGCGTCCAGGCTGGTGGAGATGAATAACTTGCTCTTCGCCTTCTGCTCCATGTTGGGGCCCCGGGTGTCGCCGTCCTGCGTTTACACCCTGTGGGGGGCGGGGATTGTCATACGATGGGCGAGGGTGGAGGAGGGGGGCCTGTCTCTGTGTACGGGGGGGGGAGGGGTTATGTACTTATTAAAAATCAAGATCCTGATTGGGCGATGGGAGTGAAGGAGATTTTGGGGACATCTAGACTCAAACGGGGGAGGGGGTGATCTAGAATGAGGGGGGGTTGTATGGGGCCCTAACCTGTATATTTGGGGCTCTGCAGAAAGGGCAAAGCAACGGGGGGGGGGGGCAAAGAATCAGGGGGCCCTGAAATACAAGGGGCCCCTGGGTGTAGATCTCAGCTGAGGATCTGCAAGTGTATAAGGAAGAAGGGGCCCCTGGCTGAGTACTGGGGAATCTATGTGGCTTCAGGGGCCCCTGGCTGTCTACTAGGGGCCTATATCAAAAGAGGGGCCCCTGGTTTCGTACTGGGGAGCCTATGTGCCTTCAGGGGCCCCTAGCTATATATTAAAGGCCTATGTGTAAGGAGGGGCCCCTGGCTGGTCCTACAATTAAAGAGGGGCCACCGACTCTAGGTGCCGTAGAGGATATAAGGGGTCCCTGTAGGTAAAGAGTGGCCCCCCGGCTACCTATTCCTACTCTAGATGTCTTAAAGTGCCCTAAAGGATATAAAGGGGCCCCTGGTTGTCTATTGGGGCCCTCTGTGTAAGGAGGGGCCCCTGGTTATAGGCACCCTAGAGGGTATAAGGCCCTTGGCTGTCTTCTAGTGCCCCAAGGGGTACAAAGGGGCCCCTGACTGTCAATAAGGGGCCCTAAGGGTTAAAAATGGGCCCCTTCGTGCCTATAAGGGGTATAAAGGGGCCCTAGGGTGTCTTTTCGTGCCCTATGGGGTACAAGGGGCCCCTACGTGTCTAAAAGAGGTATAAAGGGGCCCCTGGCTGTCTGTTAGGGGCCCTATGGGGAATTAGGGCCCTATCCTGCCTGAATGAACCCAAACCGTTGACTGAAGGCCCTATGCGGATTCAGGGGCCCTATGTGAATTGAGGGGCCCCTGTCTGGGTACTGAGGCGCTCTGTTCCGCGGCGCCCCGGCCCTCTCCCAGCACACACAGGAAACCATCCACAGCTCAACAACCGGCCGGAAGCGCCCGCCCCGCTCCACAGCCACCATCCAATCACAGAGCGGGTAGCCGCTAGACTGACAGCGCAGCGCACCGCCCCTCCGGCGTGACGTCACCACTCCCGCCAATAGCGGCCAAGCGAGACTGACGAGCGGCGGAAACGCGGGGAGGTCAGGTGATCGCCTTTCAGCGCAGGCTCCGCCATGTTTGTTGAGGGGTGGGAGATGCGAGGAGGAGCCGGGCAGCTGCGATCCCCGATTGGCTGATCAGCGGGTTCAGTCATCCATGGGCGCCGGAAGTCGGGACAACATGAGAGTGTACGGGCAGAACCGGCTGTTTTGCCCATAGCAACCTCTCCCTGTCACCTATAGCAACAGCTGAGTGTCTCTATAGTGCATTGTGGGAGTTATAAAGGAAGTCAGTCATGAGAGGGGCAGCCATTCCTGACCTCACCCTTCCTATGTCTGTTACAGTCATTCAGTGAGCTCAGGGGCCCCTGAAGAGACTCCATATGGGGCCCCCCCCCCAGTGACATCCATCCACTGACCATCAATCCAGGTCACGTGATGTCCGCAGATCCTCATAAAGGGACATAGAACTGATCACATGACTGAAAGACCCGCCCACTACTGTCATGTGACCTCGCCTGCCTCTGCCCAGGCTGGACCTTGTGGATGTTTCACCTCATTAGAGACCCCATTGTGTCCTATGAGACAGAGAAGATGGCCGCCCTCCCGTCCAGGAGCGCCTCCTACCTGCAATGCAGTGTATAGAGAGATATGGGACGGGTATATGGAGGTCACGTGACCGGGTCAGCTTCAACCTGATGCGTCTCACAGAAAACGCCATCGCCACAAAACCGCGCCTGGAATGGGGTATGGAAGCAACCGAATGATCCAAACGAATTCGATTAAAAACAGCTTTACGTTTCATCGCATTTCCTGAAAGTGGAATGTCGCCCTCAACCAACATGGCCGCCACGCAATCCCTATATCCTGCGACTACTAGTACATACATAGGAAGGGGGAGATTTTTGGGGTTTATATTGTTTTTTTTACATTTCTTCAGTTACTTCCTGGTTTCTGGCCTAGGCAAATGATGTCATACAGCCCAGGAGGGGCTCTCTCAGCTAAGCCACACCCTCCTACCTGCATGCCTGAGCTAAGGGTGGATGGATACCAGTAAGTCGATGCAGCATGAATCATCTGCCCTTAACCAAGATGACCGCTGCGCAATCCCTAAATCCTGCGACTACTAGTACATACATAGGAAGGGGGGAGATTTTTGGGGTTTATATTGTTTTTTTTTACATTTCTTCAGTTACTTCCTGGTTTCTGGCCTAGGCAAATGATGTCATACAGCCCAGGGGGGGCTCTCTCAGCTAAGCCACACCCTCCTACCTGCATGCCTGAGCTAAGGGTGGATGGATTCCAGGAAGTCAATGCTGCATGAATCATCTGCCCTTACCCAAAATGGCCGCAGCTGGAAATGCTGGGAGGGGTTCTCAGAAAAATAAATCATGGAGGGGTGGGGGAGTAGACGTGCGGATCGTTCCAAATTAAAATTCTGTCACATTTCTTGTTATTCAAAAATTCAGACGTATCCAGGTTACCATAGCAACGGATGTGAAACAACGAAATTCAGCCAAAATGGGAATCGAATTGGAAAACAAGAAGAAAATACAATAAAAACTAAAGAAAAAGAATGGAATGGAATAGAATGGAGTGGAGTAGAATAGAATGGAGTGGAGTAGAATAGAATGGAGTGGAGTAGAATAGAATGGAGTGGGAGTAGAATGGAGTGGAATAGAATAGAATGGAGTGGAATAGAATAGAATGGAGTGGAGTAGAATAGAATGGAGTGGAATAGAATAGAATGGAGTGGAATAGAATGGAGTGGAATAGAATGGAGTGGAATGAATGGAGTAGGATGAATGGAGTAGAATAGAATGGAGTAGAATAGAATGGAGTGGAATGGAATGGAGTAGTAGAATGGAGTAGAATAGAATGGAGTGGAATGGAATAGAATGGAATGGAATAGAATAGGAGTGGAGTGGAATAGAATAGAATAGAACAGAATACGGCCATCTTCTGAAGGTCCCGTGTGAATGTCGATTCGATATGTTTCATGTGTGACTCAGAAATGAACGAACAACTAAAATCCTGAAAAGGAATAAAACAGCTTAGATAACGAATTGAAAGAATTATTTTGTCGTTCTGCCTGTCTGTGGGGGGGGGGGGGGGAGGGGGAGGAGTTTGCTTTGAATATTAAACATGAATTCTAGATTGTTTTTGCTTTGTGGCGCTTGGATGCCGTGTACTTCGGATGGCGTGTACTTCGGATGACGTGTACTTCGCATGCCTCGTACTTCGGATGACGTGTACTACGGATGACGTGTACTTCGGATGACGTGTACTTCGGATGCCGTGTACTGCGCATGCCGTGTACTTCGGCATGCCGTGTACTTCGGATGACGTGTACTTCGGATGACGTTGTACTTCGGATGCCGTACTGCGCATGCCGTGTACTTCGGATGACGTGTACTTCGGATGATGTACTACGGATGACGTGTACTTCAGATGATGTGTACTTCAGATGCGTGTACTTTGGATGGCGTGTACTTTGGATGGCGTGTACTTTGGATGGCGTGTACTTCGGATGACGTGTACTTCGGATGGCGTGTACTTCGGATGCCGTGTACTTCGGATGGCGTGTACTTCGGATGACGTGTACTTTGAATGACGTGTACTTCGGATGCGCATGCCGTGTACTTTGGATGCCGTGTACTTTGGATGCCGTGTACTTTGGATGGCGTGTACTTCGGATGCCGTGTACTTCGGATGACGTGTACTTCGGATGACGTGTACTTCGGATGACGTGTACTTCGGATGCCGTGTGCTTCGGATGGCGTGTGCTACGGATGACGTGCTTCAGATGACGTGTACTTTGAATGACGTGTACTTCAGATGCGCATGCCGTGTACTTTGGATGCCGTGTACTTTGGATGCCGTGTACTACGGATGACGTGTACTTACGGATGACGTGTACTACGGATGACGTGTACTTCGAATAACGGACGACGTGTACTTCGGATGCCGTGTACTTCGGATGACGTGTACTTCGGATGCCGTGTACTTCGGATGACGTTGTACTTCGGATGACGTGTACTTCGGATGACTTGTACTTCGGATGCCGTGTACTTCGGATGCCTTGTACTGCGCATGCCGTGTACTTTGGATGTCGTGTACTTCGGATGCCGTGTACTTTGGATGTCGTGTACTTCGGATGCCGTGTACTTCGGATGCCGTGTACTTCGGATGGCGTGTACTACGGATGATGTGTACTACGGATGACGTGTACTTCGGATGGCGTGTACTACGGATGACGTGTACTTCGGATGACGTGTACTACGGATGACGTGTACTTCGAATGACGTGTACTTCGGATGCCTCGTACTGCGCATGCCGTGTACTTTGGATGCCGTGTACTTCGGATGCCGTGTAGCTCGGATGACGTGTAGCTCGGATGCCGTGTACTTCAGATGCCGTGTAGCTCGGATGACGTGTAGCTCGGATGACGTGTACTTCGGATGCCGTGTACTTCAGATGCCGTGTAGCTCGGATGACGTGTACTTTGGATGCCGTGTACTTCAGATGCCGTGTAGCTCGGATGACGTGTACTTTGGATGCCGTGTAGCTCGGATGACGTGTACTTCAGATGCCGTGTAGCTCGGATGACGTGTACTTTGGATGCCGTGTACTTCGGATGCCGTGTAGCTCGGATGCCGTGTAGCTCGGATGACGTGTACTTTGGATGCCGTGTAGTTCTGGTGATGGTACATAACCCCAGACCGATGTCGAGTAATTCGAAGGATCCATCACACACGGTGCAATACAGGCGTGACGCTCCCGGAACCATTTGTTGTTAGCAGGAGATCATCAGCAGATCCCGCCCAATGGTTGACATTCGGGACCTGCTGATTGGCTGCGTCCAATCACAGCCCAGCGCTCCAACATGCTGTGTACAGAGGAACGATCTCTTCGCTGGGAAAAGAAACAAATCGATGTTTATTACAAAGCAGCACAACGAACCCCCCAGACGGGGGCAGCACACGGCACAACGAACCCCCCAGACGGGGACAGCACACGGCACAACGAACCCCCCAGACGGGGGCAGCACACGGCACAACGAACCCCCCAGACGGGGGCAGCACACGGCACAACAAACCCCCCAGACGGGGGCAGCACACGGCACAACGAAATCCCCAGACGGGGGCAGCACACGGCACAACGAACCCCCCAGACGGGGGCAGCACACGGCACAACGAACCCCCCAGACGGGGGAAGCACACGGCACAACGAACCCCCCAGACGGGGGCAGCACACGGCACAACCAACCCCCCAGACGGGGGCAGCACATGGCACAACTAACCCCCCAGACGGGGGCAGCACACGGCACAACCAACCCCCCAGACGGGGGCAGCACACGGCACAACCAACCCCCCAGATGGGGGAAGCACACGGCACAACGAACCCCCCATACGGGGGCAGCACACGGCACAACGAACCCCCCATACGGGGGCAGCACACGGCACAACGAACCCCCCAGACGGGAGCAGCACACGGCACAACCAACCCCCCAGACGGGGGCAGCACACGGCACAACCAACCCCCCAGATGGGGGAAGCACACGGCACAACGAACCCCCCATACGGGGGCAGCACACGGCACAACGAACCCCCCAGACGGGGGCAGCACACGGCACAACGAACCCCCCAGACGGGAGCAGCACACGGCACAACCAACCCCCCAGACGGGGGCAGCACACGGCACAACGAACCCCCCAGACGGGGGCAGCACACGGCACAACGAACCCCCCAGACGGGGGCAGCAGCACACGGCACAACGAACCCCCCAGACGGGGGCAGCACACGGCACAACGAACCCCCCAGACGGGGGCAGCACACGGCACAACCAACCCCCCCAGACGCACTGCTTGAGGGGCAGCACACGGCACAACCAACCCCCCAGACGGAGGCAGCACACGGGCTGCTGGGATTCTTTGAATGAAGATTTCCTGGAAGTCTGACACCTGGGGGTCCAGAACAATGACACCCTGACACTTGAGGGCCCCAGAACAATGACACCCTGACACTTGGGGGTCCCAGAACAATGGACACCCTGACACCTGGGGGTCCCAGAACAATGACACCCTGACACTTGGGGGACCCCAGAACAATGACACCCTGACACTTGAGGGTCCCAGAACAATGACACCCTGACACTTGGGGGTCTAGAACAATGACACCCTGACACTTGGGGGTCCCAGAACAATGACACCCTGACACTTGGGGACCCCAGAACAATGACACCCTGACACTTGGGGGTCCAGAACAACGACACCCTGACACTTGAGGGTCCCAGAACAATGACACCCTGACACTTGGGGGTCTAGAACAATGACACCCTGACACTTGGGGGTCCCAGAACAATGACACCCTGACTGACACTATGGTGTCTAGAACAATGACACCCTGACACTTGAGGGTCCCAGAACAATGACACCCTGACACTTGGGGGTCCCAGAACAATGACACCCTGACACTTGGGGGTCCCAGAACAATGACACCCTGACACTTGGGGGTCTAGAACAATGACACCCTGACACTTGGGGGTCCCAGAACAACGATACCCTGCGATACCCTGACACTTGGGGGTCCAGAACAACAACACCCTGACACTTGAGGGTCCCAGAACAATGACACCCTGACACTTGGGGGTCCCAGAACAATGACACCCTGACACTTGGGGGTCCCAGAACAATGACACCCTGACACTTGGGGGTCCAGAACAACGACACCCTGACACTTGAGGGTCCCAGAACAATGACACCCTGACACTTGGGGGTCCCAGAACAATGACACCCTGACACTTGGGGGTCCCAGAACAATGACACCCTGACACTTGGGGTACCCAGAACAATGACACCCTGAAACTTGGGGTACCTAGAACAATGACACCTTGGCACTTGGGGCTCCCGAACAATGACACCCTGATACTTGGGGGTCCCAGAACAATGACACCCTGACACTTTGGGGGTCCCAGAAAAACGATACCCTGGCACTTGGGGGTCGAGAACAATGACACCTTGGCACTTGGGGGTCCAGAACAATGACACCCTGACACTTGGGGATCCCAGAACAATGACACCCTGGCACTTGGGGGTCCAGATCAATGACACCCTGACACTTTGGGGGTTCAGAACAATGACATCCTGACACTTGGGGGTCCCAGCAGAATGACACCCTGACACCTGGGGGTCCAGAACAATGACACCCTGACACTTGGCAGTCCCAGAACAATGACACCCTGACACTTGGCGGTCCCAGAACAATGACACCCTGACACTTGGGGGTCCCAGAACAATGACACCCTGACACTTGGGATCCCAGCACAATGACACGCTGACACTTGGGGGTCCCAGAACAATGACACCCTTACACTTGGGGGTCCTAGAACAATGACACCCTGACACTTGGGGGGTCCAGAACAATGACACCCTGACACTTGGGGGTCCAGAACAATGACACCCTGACACTTGGGGGTCCAGAACAATGACACCCTGACACTTGGGGGTCTAGAACAATGACACCCCGACACTTGGGGTCCAGAACAATAACGCCTTTACACTTGGGGACCCCAGAACAATGACACCCTGACACTTGGTAAATGCAGAACAATGACACCCTGACACTTTGGGTTCCCAGAACAATGACACCCTGACACTTGGGGGCCCCAGAACAATGACACCCTGACACTTGGGGGTCTAGAACAATGACACCCTGACACTTGTGGGCCCCAGAACAATGACACCCTGACTCTTAGGGAACCCAGAACAATGACATTTGGGGGCCCCAGGAGGACACACTCCCCCTTTGTTGTTTCTATACATTGTTTCTCCTGTGAGCGGCTGTGCGGTTGGCGGGGGTTCTGCGGTGGTGATTAGCCGTGCGGTTGGCGGGGGTTCTGCGGTGGTGATTAGCCGTGCGGCGGGTTGTATAAAGCTTTATCTGTCGCCTCCACACAGACATAATGGACGATCCTCCAGCTGTAATGCGCCATTTCTCTCCTCATTGTTTGCACCCTCCCAGGCAGAGCGGGGCCCGGCGCTTCCATTATCTTTAATTAAACTGCAGCAGAGCGACAGGCACAGCCGTGTTCTGGATGGAGAATGGAGCGGCGGTGTTGGGGGGGGTCTAGCTTTGGGCATGTGCAGTGCAGAGGGGGGGGGTCCGCCCAGGGAAGGGCAATAAGGAGTTAATTCAAAGACAAGAATTGGGTTATGGAAAGTCTCCGCATATCGCCGCAGCAGAAGGGAGACTTTCCGGCAACATAACTGCCATTTATGTGGGATTTGGCATCGAGAACCGCAAATAAAACGGACGATTTGCATCAGATGAGGACTCAGCCATGGGACATCTGATTGGACCGTACCCTGACCTCCGTCTACCCCAGACAGTTCCAAGCAGGGTCCCTTCACAGGTTGCTGGGGGCGTCATGGGGCAGTGAGTAACCTCTGCCTCTCAGATGGTCAACCACTATCACCAATCCAGCCCTTGGTTCATTATTCCCTCCACTGACACCAACAAAGGGGCATAGTTCCTCCCACTGACACCAACAAAGGGGCATAGTTCCTCCCACTGACACCAATATGGGGCACTATTCCTCCCACTGACACCAATGATGGGACACTATTCCTCCCACTGACACCAATGATGGGGCAGACGGACCATATATTGACCATGGATGGACCATAGACTGAAAATGGATGGACCATATATGGACCATAGACTGACCATGGATGGACCATAGACTGACCATAAATGGACCATAGACTGACCATGGATGGACCATAGATGGACTACAGACTGACCATGGATGGACCATTGACTGACCATGGATGGATCATAGACTGACCATGGATGGACCATAGACTGATCATGGATGGACCATAGACTGACCATGGATGGATCATAGACTGGCCGTGGATGGATCATAGACTGACCATGGATGGACCATAGACAGACCATAGACTGACCATGGATGGACCATAGACAGACCATAGACTAACCCTGGATGGACCATAGACTGACCATAGACTGACCATGGATGGACCATGGACTGACCATGGATGGACCATACACTGACCATGGATGGACCATACACTGACCATGGATGGACCATAAACTGACCATGGATAGACCATAGACAAACCATAGACTGACCATGGGATGGACCACAGACTGACCATGAATGGACCATAAACTGACCATGGATGGACCATAGACTAACCATAGATGGACCATAGACTGACCATGGATGGATCATAGATGGACCACAGACTGACCATGGATGGACCATAAACTGACCATGGATGGACCATAGATTAACCATAGATGGACCATAGACGGACCATGGATGGATCATAGACTGACCATGGATGGACCATAGATTGACCATAGATGGACCATAGACTGACCATGGATGGATCATAGACTGGCCGTCGATGGACCATAGACTGACCGTGGATGGACCATAGACTGACCATGGATGGACCATAGACTGACCATGGATGGACCAGACTGGATGGACCACAGACTGACCATGGATGGACCATAGACTGACCATGGATGGACCATAGACAGACACCATGGATGGATCATAGACTGACCATGGATGGACCATAGACTGACCATGGATGGACCACAGACTGACCATAGACTGACCATGGATGGACCACAGACTGACCATGGATGGACCACAGACTGACCATGGATGGACCACAGACTGACCACGGATGGACCATAGACTGACCATGGATGGACCATAGACTGACCATGGATGGACCATAGACAGACCACAGATGGACCATAGACTGACCATGGATGGACCATAGACTGACCATGGATGGACCATAGACTGACCATGGATGGACCACAGACTGACCATGGAAGGACTACAGACTGACCATGGATGGACCACAGACTGACCATGGATGGACCATAGACTGACCATGGATGGATCATAGACTGACCATGGATGGACTACAGACTGACCATGGATGGACTACAGACTGACCATGGATGGATCATAGACTGGCCGTGGATGGACCACAGACTGACCATGGATGGACCATAGACTGACCATGGATGGATCATAGACTGACCATGGATGGATCATAGACTGACCATGGATGGACCATAGACTGACCATGGATGGATCATAGACTGACCATAGATGGACACGTCATTAGAGATCGAACAGTCTGACTCAATGCTTTATAGCGATTTTTCAGTGTTGAGACGCATCCATGGTGGGCTGATGGTGACAACACGTACACGGAAGTCTCCTGCATTCAGCAGTGAACACCCCAAGGCCTCCTCATGATGCCTCATAACCCTGCACAGACAGATCGACTCGAACCGGTCCTTCATTGTTGTCAGGGGAGTGTGGCCCTCACAGAAAAACAGCTTCCCAATCATTGGTGTCAGTGAGACAGTGGCCCCCCAAGGAAGAATACCCCCCAAATCACTGGTGTCAGTGAGATAGTGGCCCCCATGGAAGAATACCTCCCAAATCATTGGTGCCAATGGGATAGTGGCCCCCATGGAAGAATACCTCCCAAATCATTGCTGTCAGTGGGATAGTGGCCCCAGGTAAGAACAACCCCCAAACCATTGGTGTCAGTGGGATAGTGGCCCCCAGGGAAGAATACCACCCAAACCATTGGTGTCAGTGGGATAGTGGCCCCCAGGGAAGAATACCCTCTAAATCATTGGTGGTAGTGACATAGTGGCCCTCAGAGAAGAAGAGCCCCCAGATTGTTAGCGCCAGTTGGATAGTGGGAACCAAGAAAGAATAGTTCCCAAAATTGTTGGTGTTAGTGGGGTAATGGTCCTGTGGAAGAATACCCTGTAAACCATTGGTATTGGTGGTATAGTGGCCCCCAAGCAAAACTGGCCCCCAAATCAATGGTGTTGGTGAGATAATGGCCATGAGGGGAGAATAGTTCCCCAATGTTTTGTGTCAGTGGGATAGTGGCCCCCAGGGAAGACTAGCTGCCTAAATCATTGGTGTTGGTGAGATAGTGGCCCTTCAGGGAAGACTAGCTCCCTATATCATTGGTGTTGGTGAGATAGTGGCCCCCAGGGAAGACTGCTCCTAAATCATTGGTGTTGGTGAGATAGTGGCCCCCAGGGAAGACTAGCTCCCTAAATCATTGGTGTTTTGGTGAGATAGTGGCCCCCAGGGAAGACTAGCTCCCTAAATCATTGGTGTTGGTGAGATAGTGGCCCCCAGGGAAGACTAGCTCCCTAAATCATTGGTTTTGGTGAGATAGTGGCCCCCAGGGAAGACTAGCTCCCTAAATCATTGGTGTTGGTGAGATAGTGGCCCCCAGGGAAGACTAGCTCCCTAAATCATTGGTGTTGGTGAGATAGTGGCCCCCAGGGAAGACTAGCTCCCTAAATCATTGGTGTTGGTGAGATAGTGGCCCCCAGGGAAGACTAGCTCCATAAATCATTGGTGTTGGTGAGATAGTGGCCCCCAGGGAAGACTAGCTCCCTAAATCATTGGTGTTGGTGAGATAGTGGCCCCCAGGGAAGACTAGCTCCCTAAATCATTGGTGTTGGTGAGATAGTGGCCCCCAGGGAAAGACTAGCTCCCTAAATCATTAGTTTGGTGAGATAGTGGCCCCCAGGGAAGACTAGCTCCCTAAATCATTGGTTTTGGTGAGATAGTGGCCCCCAGATAGTGGCCCCAGGGAAGACTAGCTCCCTAAATCATTGGTGTTGGTGAGATAGTGGCCCCCAGGGAAGACCAGCTCCCTAAATCATTGGTTTTGGTGAGATAGTGGCCCTCAGGGAAGACTAGCTCCCTAAATCATTGGTGTTGGTGAGATAGTGGCCCCCAGGTGAGATAGTGGCCCCCCAGGGAAGACTAGCTCCCTAAATCATTGGTTTTGGTGAGATAGTGGCCCCCAGGGAAGACTAGCTCCCTAAATCATTGGTGTTGGTGAGATAGTGGCCCCCAGGGAAGACTAGCTCCCTAAATCATTGGTGTTGGTGAGATAGTGGCCCCCAGGGAAGACTAGCTCCCTAAATCATTGGTGTTGGTGAGATAGTGGCCCCCAGGGAAGACTAGCTCCATAAATCATTGGTGTTGGTGAGATAGTGGCCCCCAGGGAAGACTAGCTCCATAAATCATTGTGTTGGTGAGATAGTGGCCCCCAGGGAAGACTAGCTCCCTAAATCATTGGTGTTGGTGAGATAGTGGCCCCCAGGGAAGACTAGCTCCCTAAATCATTGGTGTTGGTGAGATAGTGGCCCCCAGGAAAGACTAGCTCCCTAAAATCATTGGTTTTGGTGAGATAGTGGCCCCCAGGGAAGACTAGCTCCCTAAATCATTGGTGTTGGTGAGATAGTGGCCCCCAGGTGAGATAGTGGCCCCAGGGAAGACCAGCTCCCTAAATCATTGGTGTTGGTGAGATAGTGGCCCCCAGGGAAGACCAGCTCCCTAAATCATTGGTTTTGGTGAGATAGTGGCCCTCAGGGAAGACTAGCTCCCTAAATCATTGGTGTTGGTGAGATAGTGGCCCTCAGGGAAGACTAGCTCCATAAATCATTGGTGTTGGTGAGATAGTGGCCCTCAGGGAAGACTAGCTCCCTAAATCATTGGTGTTGGTGAGATAGTGGCCCCCAGGTGAGATAGTGGCCCCCCAGGGAAGACTAGCTCCCTAAATCATTGGTGTTGGTGGTGAGATAGTGGCCCCCAGCGAAGACTAGCTCCCTAAATCATTGGTGTTGGTGAGATAGTGGCCCCC